AAACAAACGCCCAGCACAGACGAATACTTCACACGACATTAAACTGAACCAGAGAGTGGTCAGAGCCATCTGAAAAGCGTCTGCATAATCAGCCCGTTGCTGCCAGCGGCCGCACTCAGCCGCGCGGACCGGCGCTCCACGCGCGCACCTCGATCAGGAACCGGACCAGCTCCATGTGGTTCTTCTCGATGAGCAGCTGGACGACCCGCAGGATCTCCGGCTTGGCGCGCATCAGCACCGAGTGGTGCACCACCACGTTCAGAGACTGCGCGTTCTGCTGCAGACTGTTGTAGCGTGCCACCTGGCAAAGGAGCAGGACACGTTACAGCGTCACACGCGCCGCTGCCGGGTCAGCCACGGTGACAGCGGTGGGTGGTGCTACAGTCAAGCTTATTACCAGCTACCCGAGTCTCTCCCGTTCAAGGGGCGCCGCCGCACGCAGACGTAAACTTCGGTCGACGTTGCTTTTCGCGATTTGTTCGAATGTCCTGTTCAACATTGCCACTGAGCCATAGCGTAACGCATCGGCAGGCCACCACAACCAGCATCGGTGGATCACGGTAGAGTCGTAGTTTTCAATCGCAGATCATGTTCGTCCGCAAGTGTCGGGCTTCCGCGAGGGTTGCCATAGGCGACGGCTGCACCACACATGTTTGTAAACCCTGCGATTCACAACCCATCTGAAGCTACTGTGGTGCGCAGATCTCGTAGCGATGCCACATATACAAGAACAACGCCGCGCCAGCGCAGCGTCCGCGCAGCTGAAGACGCGCGGCCTACCGGACCATCGAGCCGGCGCCGCGAGCACCGCCGCGCCGGCGGCCTCACCTCTCGCGCCATGGTGGTGACGAACACCTGCGGCCGGGCGGTGGCGATGAGGGCGACAGCGTGGCGCGCCGTCCGCGCCGTGTCGGCCGCCGCCGCCAGCGGCAGGCCGTAGCTCATGCTGTCGGCGGGAGCGGAGCGCGGTCAGCCGGCGCCGGCGTCGGCACACGGCACGCCGACACCGAGCCGGCTGCTGGGTCGTCGCGACACCGGGGCACAGCCCGCCGTCCACGGCGGGACGAGCGCTCACGCCTGTGCCCCGTGACACCGCTCCCAAGGACAGCTCTTTCAACACCGGAGACGCAACACCGACCCTTACCTTAATCAAAGATGGTCATAACCTTACGCTTACGAGGTCCATGACAGTGACGACGTGCGATTATCTTAGCGACTTCACGACAACAGCCAGTGACCCATTCTAACGCAGCGGCGGCTCCCCTACCGGGAGCCTGCTCTCGGCCGTCCCCGGGCGCCGCTCACCGGGACGCCGCTGCCTCACCCTGTCCCTCACCTGGGAGCCGCTGCTCTCGGCCGCCACTCGGGGCGCCGCTCACCGGACGCCCCGCTACTCACCCTGTCCGCGCACCTGGGGCGCTGCTCTCGGCCGTCCCTCGGGGCCGCTCACCGGGACGCCGCGCGCCTCACCCTGCCCCGCCACCTGGGAGCCCTGCTCTCGGTCGTCTCTTGGGACGCCCGCCTGCCTCGCCCCCCCCGCTCACCTCGGCGCCATGCTGTCAGCCTCGCAGCAGAGCTCCAGCATGGCCCAGCAGCACCGCGAAGGCGTCGATGTGCGGCTCCCACTGGCTGAAAGCCGCGGCCCGATCAGGTCGATGGCGGCCCGGCGCAGCGGGCGTGTGCGCCGGCAGCTTGGGAGTGGGCGGCGCCAGCAGCAGGTGCGCCAGCGCCTGGCCTGAGCGCACGGGCGGGCGACGCCGTCAGACGCGGCGGGCGGCGGCGCGTACCCGCTCCGGCGCAGCGCAACGACCACCCAGCCAGTCAAAACAGGTCACGCAGGCACACAGGCATAAGCCCAGACAGACTCCGGACCAGCTGAAGCTGGGCCACACAAGCGACATCTCACAGATCGCGCCCCAGTCGTCCCCAGGCCGCCCAGCGCACCGCCCCGGCGCGGGCCGCTGCTGGACCGCGGCCGCGCCACACGTCGACAGTGGCGGCGGCGGCGGCGCCAGCGGACGTACTGGTGTGCAGCGCCAGCGGACCCAGGCCGAAGCCCTCGACGCCGTGCGCCCGGCCGCCGGACACCTCCTGGCCGAACTCGGCGCCGATCACGCCCAGAAGGATGATGGCCGTGGCCTGCTTGCGGCGCGCCTCGGCCGCGTTGGCCGCCGCCCGCCGCGCCGCCTCCTCTGCCGGCCGACAGAGCGGGCTCAGCGGCCAGACACGGCGCACGACACAGCCGTCACGTCACGTTTCACACGACACGTCAGCACCCGACCACGGCGTCACGCTCTACAGCGCCCGGAGCCGCAGCAATTGTGTACGTATGTGCGTGCTGGAAGGATATCATCAAAGGCATGCGGACGTGCAGCGACCGCTGATTACTTCATAGACTCATAAATGTCTGCAATGACCAGGTACGGTCAGACACAGTTCGATCATTCTTCCCCAACACGAGAGGATCGATTGCTACGTATCAGCAAACAATGCGGCTATCTATAAGGGCCTTGCTGCCGTTGACATGGCAGGGAGGCGCACGCCAGGAGCCCCAGAGCCCAGCCCGCCCACCATTGGCACCTGTGGCGTCATGTCGTCTGATTAAGAGCGCAGCTGTGACACAGAACCAAGATATGTGCGTCACAAAACCTCACTAGAGTGGCCCATTAATCCCAGGCGAACGACGAACGCTAAGCCCAGGCGGAGAGGCGACCCGAACCCCGTTACAAGCGTCCCACGCCCATGCCTGGTGGCGCTCCCTGACGTAAAGCACAGCTCTGAGTGAACACAGGTCAGGCAAAGGGACGCCCCAGACTACAAGAGAGGCGTCTTCGTGTCCTCGCCGAGGGACACCCCAGTCCGAGGTACATGAGCAGGCAAGCCTATAGGCAGACGGAACCCCCAATACCACAAGTGCTTCCAAGCCTTAGTAAGGAGACGCCTGCAAACACATACAGAGGAGTACCCCAAGCCGAAGTGTATGAGTGGCGCGCCAGGTCTTCAGGCCTACGGAAGCCCCAAGCCCCTCAGCGGGCGCCAATAAGCCCAGCAGGGAGGCTAAAATCGTCCATATGCTCCCCTGCCGGGACAGAGACGTCCCGCTGGTCTCCTGACGGGGCAGAGCCGAGCCTCACCCTCCATCTGGTCCTCGACGTAGTCGTCGGGCTCGCCGTCGGCGGGCTCGTGCTCGTCAGGCGCGTGCTGCGGCGGCACCACCGACGGCTGGTCGGCGTACGAGGGCAGCAGCGGCGCCCACCAGTCGACCAGCGCCTTCAGGTTGCGCGGCGAGAGGCGGTGCAGCTCCGCCAGGAGCAGGGCCTGCGCCGCCTGCCGGATCTAAGCGACACACGAGCGCGGGCGGTCAGCCGCCGACGACACGCGGCACGCCGCCGCCGTGCGGCGCCCCACGGCTCGCGACGCTCGGAAAGTTTGCTACGCTTCGCAGCGCGGCCGTTCGCCGTCCTGCGCAGAGCTCGGGCGACCGTCATCTGCCGTACAGCACTTCATGGACACGTATCTGATCACCGACTCAAGAGATGCGAAACATAACGCATCGTCATGGATAATGGTCCCAGTTTCAAACCGCGCGCGAAGCAGGTCTTTTACATTGGTTGATAGTTTGCTGTCATCAACAGACATACGCCAGGGCCCTTTCAAGCTGCATAACTGAACTAATTTAGTGCCGGGCAAGGCAAACAATCGCAGTAATCAAGATGGGTTAGTCCATCACTCCTCTCGCTACTACTTCGTCTTCCCTGATTCAACGTCTTTACAACCCCCAGGGTATAGCACCACGAGCAATACCCCAGAGCTCTCGCAGATGATGGCCATGCGAGCGATTTCGGCGAAGGACACCAGGATAAGTCGCGTTACGAGATGAAGGACTCTAAACACCATAGATACATATTGGGTGGAGAAAATGACCACGCGCACGCGCGCACACACAAAAACACACACACGCACACACCACACACACACACACACACACACACACACACACACACCACACACACACACACACACACACACACACACACACACACACACACACACACACACACATCACACACACACGCACACACACACACACTTATACGCACACGCACACACGCGCACACGCGCACACACGTACACACACACGCCCGCGCGCACGTACACACACACGCACTTAAAATGTGGATAGCTATCACGTAAGGGAGGAAAATAAAAGCAGGCCTAAGATTAAAGAATGACACCGGATAACAACATCTGATTTTACTTGTGTTCAAAACTACCAACAGCGCGATTGGTGTCCTTTGTGCTCCTGTCACGTTTCTTCTAGGAACGTTGTGTTTTCGCATGCCTTACATGCTCACATACAGACAGCTTATTAGTTAGTTCCATGCGTTCTGTGCCGGATGACATGTGGAAAATATTCATCAGCTGGTCTGCGATAAATAGACATAGAAGTGCTTAGCAACGCTAGTGCTGACTGGCATGAGATAGTTAAACAAATATATCCTCACCACAGTCATGTAGGACTAGCCAGTTCAAGATATGCTCTATACAAATATATGCTTGATGAGTAAGTAAATCAAAGAAAGGAACAAAATGCTGTCAAGCTTCCATATAACATCTCGAAGTTTCAGTGTTTTCATTTGTTTGCTTCTTCTTACAACCATCTTTTTCACCTACTTCGTAGCCTCCCAAAACAAGTCACACAAATTTGTTCATTACCTCAATGCATCGGTCCTGCCACCTCCTGGCCAAAATTTCCACGAGCGGCTTCTTGAGCGCTACACCTGAAGACTCCATGCGCTCAGGGAACTGGACGCAGTGTAGTGTCGCGATCTTGCTCCAGCCCTGCAGGCCAGAACCAGCAGGACTCCCTCGTCAACCTGCGCCGATGCCCCATCAACATGGCGCACACGAGTAAGACAACTAACACAAACGCCGTTACGAGTTTGGCAAGCTTGTTTGGACATGTCCTAATTGACGCGAGCATGGACGACTGGTTAAGGCCAGGACGGCTGACCTCTCGGACTTGCGCCCAGAAGTTGGCCTGCAGCTCCAGCAGGCCGTCCTGTGACTTTCCGAGCGTCTGGTTCGTCTGACTATGCGATCTCGTCAGTTGCCTGGAGGCGGGGACACGACATCAGTCACGCGATCTCGTCAGCTGCCTGGGCGCGGGGACACGACACTTATCATTCGTCTTCGTCAGCTGCCTGGGGGCGGGGACACACGACATTTGTCACTCATTTTCGTCAGTTGCCTGGGGGCGGGGACACACGACACCGGTCACTCGATCTCGTCAACTGCCTGGGGGCGGGGGACACACGACACTGGTCACTCGATCTCGTCAGCTGCCTGGGGGCGGGGACACACGACACCGGTCACTCGATCTCGTCAAGCTGCCTGGGCGCGGGGACACACGACATTTGTCACTCATTTCGTCAGTTGCCTGGGGGCGGGGGACACACGACACCGGTCACTCGATCTCGTCAGTTGCCTGGGCGCGGGGACACACGACACCGGTCACTCGATCTCGTCAACTGCCTGGGGGCGGGGACACACGACACTGGTCAGTCATCTTCGTCAGCTGGCTACAGGGCGGGGACACACGACACCGGTCACTCGATCTCGTCAGCTGCCTGGGGGCGGGGGACACACGACACCGGCCATTCCGTCAGCCACCAGCCAGGCAGGGAGCAAACAGCAGTCCGTTGGCGCCGGCTCAAACGGAACACGCAGTAGCAAAACACAAAATGTGCAGACCACAACACAACACCGAACTGAGATCAGTACCGGGTTGCCTTGGAGTCCAGCATCAATAAAGCGCGATAAGTATGAAAAACCACGCCAGGCGGTGTCTGGATGGAGTACTTAAGTCGGGAGAGCGTCAGTCCCGCGACCCCGGGTCAAATACTGTGGGGTTTAGGCCTGGCTCTCAGCCAGAGGTTAGTCACCCCGGCCCAACTGGCTTAACATCTTTGGACTTGAGATGCCTCATTAAATCCCTAGAGCGGATCTCTTTGCTGGGCTCCAGCACACCATCAACAAGAAGAAGCAGACAAGTCATGCAACGCCACGATGAGGTACAGTTACTTGCATAACACCAAAATGACTGTGAACTGCAACAGCACGCGGCACAGCCTTCCAAGTTCTGTAATGCGGTAAAAAATTCCACCAATAAGACGGTGTCATACTATTGTCAGTCGTGTCAAAGGTGTCAATTGCTACTCACGAGAGCCTCAAATGGCGTCAATCCCCCAACTCCAATAGAACCGATTCCGCAATACTCATCTTTCCCGTCGAAATAGAGTTCGACACATAAATTGCGCCGCAATGGCCGTAGTCACAGTCGGAACTAGCCGCACAGGTTGCGAGTCAGAGTCGTGATCCATTCCGATGTCACCGAGTCAAGCACACAAAGACTGAGAGTCTTTGCGACCTCACGGGCACGTTTCAATCGCAGTTGGGACGACACAACACCCATTAACTTCCAGACAGCCTAAAGCTACCATGCCGGACTCATCAGCAGCGCCTCCCAACCGACCGCAGCAGCCGCCAGCGACGAGCCACGCCCGCCCCACACGCCAAGCCCGCCAGCTCACTTTTGCAGCCGCTTGCGCCGCTCCGGCTCGGGCACGAAGCTGGTGTTGTTCATCGACATGAGCGTGTCGGCCAGCGCGATGACGGACAGCAGGTGGGTGGTGGTGAGCGCGCTGCTCAGCTCCCAGTGCGTGCGGCGCGTGAAGGTGACGGTACGCTCGGCCAGCGGCGCCGCCATCGCCGCCGAGCCGGGACCGCCGAGGAACGTCGGCAGCAGCAGCGACACAAACCCTGCACGCACGGCGGCGCGGCGGTCAGGGCGCGTTCCGACACTCGCACTCATCCAAATTTTACGTCAAAATAAACACAATTATACATACATACATACATACAAATATATATATATATATATGTATATATACATACATATATATATACACACATATATATATATATATATATATATATATATATATATATATATACATCACATAATGTAAGCAATGCGCGACTGCTCAAGGATGCCAGACTAAATTTTGCCCCTTCTTAGGACCAAGCATGCCACAAGGGAGGACAGAGGACGTCGGGGAGAGAGTGGATGGCGGATTTCCGCCCCCAATGTAATTGTTCATCATTATTGCATGCAAACGAACCATCCTTTCAGTGAAACGTTGTCATCAAATTCTGAACCCTAAAATACATGCATCAAAACCCGACCGTCCTTACGCGCTTCGGTGTGTAAAATGGCACGTCACTGTGCGAGTGCGTATGGCACAAGACCCATTTGCGAATGTAAAGCCTGTTTAAATGGAATATTTTAACCCACGCGCATCTACACAGGCCATGCTAGATGAGATCACATACTTTCCGTGGTTACGGAACAGCTACTGCAAGCAAAGGACGTCAGCTTGCGTCCTCTTCGTACTTAACGCGCGTGATTGTTAAAAATTTGCATATCCAACAGGTCTAGTTTAGAAGTAAAGCTTTGTTGACATGTTTAACTGAAGCAGTGCCAAATCCGGTCTTATGACATACAACGTTTCAACTGATTGAGCTCGATGCAGGGCCTATCGAATTCAAAGCTGCTTTCATTGTATCGAAACCGCAACAAAGGAAAAGCGCTACAAATAACGCGCGCGCCGATGTGGGTCCATTGAATTCAAAACTACTTTCATTGTTTTCAAACCGCACCAAAGGAAAAACGCTAAAAATAACGTGTGCGCATCCAGCAAACTATTTTGATGCTTCCGGTAATGGCCAGCTTACTTCAAATGAAGAAGCCGCCCAACATCAAAAGTCCACCATGGGCTGGCACTGCTTACGAAACTTAGGAAATGTAGGGAATTATTCGACGATGGAATCGCTTTTGACAGGCAGCCGACAAAACTGCGTCACAAAACTGGAACAGATTAACGAACATTTTTCCCAGCCCAAGCGCGAATCGACGACGACCGGTGTTTGCATCCTTTTCTAAGCACATACAATACGTGTCACATGTATTTTTTACTGATCATGTATTACGGATTACGGTGCAAACTGCAGCGGAAAAGAAAACTTTCTTACTGCAAGGCGCACAAATACAATGACCAGTAAGCCCTAATCAGATCATAAGTAGACGTATGGCTGGTGACGTGGATGATAAACGACGCTGAGCAGGTAGGATAGTACGCAGGCTGCCCCCATTTCGCCAGGTCTGCGGTAAATGAGTCCGAGGCTGCGTCTGTCAGATTATCTCCAGAAATTTTTCAAAGCGGAGTCGTTAGTCTCATACGAAATATCAAGGGATAGGGATCACTTCTGATGACGATCGTCAGCAATCACGTGGTGGGCGAGAAGAGCACGGTCTTACATTAATCAGGCCATTTTGAGCCTGAGTCAAAGCCCAAGTTTCGGGTTTGTGCAATGAATGTCCGTTACGTATTCTTCCAGGCTTTGAGCGATCAGTAAGAATACAGTGTCCTGTTGGGTTCAGTCCGATTTCATAATCAAACAAACTTGCCACGTAAGTAAACCAATTGAATCTGAGCCGGATTCACGTGTAACGGGATTGAAACGCTTTAACCCAAGCCACAAAACGCTACAACCTCGAGGCAGCTTCCGAGATTCAGCAGAGCCCGTCTCCGGCGGGCGGGAAGCGCGACCGGCGCAGCCTGGCGCGGCCCTCGAGGCGGCGCCGCCGGCCGCTCGCTCACCGTGCTTGCTGATGAGGCCGTAGCAGACGGGGTGCTTGGGCCGCAACATGCCCAGCTTGGTCTCGCACAGCCGGTCGATCTCGGCGTCGACACCCCAGGCGTGCACCAGCGACAGCAGCATCTGGCAGATCTCCATGGTCTGGTTGTCCGTCTGGCCAAGCTGCACCTTGCCGCGGCCCTCCACGTCGCCATCCGAGTCTGCAACGGACCCCGGCGCGTCAGCCACGGCACTCCACGTCGCCGTCCGCGCCTGCAACGGACGCCAGCGCGTCAGCCACGGCCCTCCACGTCGCCATCCGAGTCTACAACGGACGCCGGCGCGTCAGCCACGGCCCTCCACGCCGCCGTCCGCGCCTGCAATGGACGCCGACGCGTCAGCGCGACCGATCGGCGGCCGCCGTCAGCCTCACCTTCAGGCAGACGGACTTCGTAAGGCTTTGGGCGGCGGAGGAACGACAACGCTGGGTGGGTTGACTCTCGAGCCCATAACACAGGAAGCCTATCACGCAGGAAACGCGTGGCGCTACTCTGCGGGTCCTCAGCCTCAAACAGGCCCAATTTCTTACCTTCCATCCGGAGCAAAACCAGGCGCTAAGCAAAGCGTGGGCCGCTCATGGAAGGAAAAACAACTTCTAGAGAAACTAGCCGTACTCCCCAATGACAAAAAAATACTGTTCTGCGCTGTCACTGCCGTTTTCCATGTGGTCAGGTCTCTCCAGAAAGGGCTCCAGTGTGGTCTTTCCAAAAGGTGCCCACCAAATTTTCGGATGCTAAAGACACGACGTCCACAACATGCACCGACAAAGAGAAGACCGTTTCCGCGGCAGCCTGAGGGCGCACAGTGATACGCTGTGTACAGAATGTGGAAGCTGGCATGATGCATGCGAGGACGAAGCAAGTGTCTGAGCTTATTATCAGTCACCCAGAGTAATACCGTCAGCAAAAAGAAAGATCGGGAGCGGAATATCTATGGAAAATGCCATGTTTCAAACTATCGGGACGACATGTTATCTGGACGCGGATGATTACGATGTTTCCGGTGACTCCCTTCCGGTAGATGCCTTTTTTCAGGTGCGCTCTTAAAGTCAGGCGCATGCCAAAACAAACTGACGCACAAGAACCAGCATTTCGAGCATTTGCCCGACCGAGAGTCATACCTCAACCACTGACACCGCGATATCAAAAATGATCAGATCAATGTGACCATTGATCAGTGATCAACCACTTAACCCGCACTGACTTGTTTGGGAATGTACTGAAGATACTACACAAATCAC